ATTTCACTGGAAAACAAAAAAAAGTCATTTGCACCGCATGGACTGGAATAGCAGCACTACTTTTACCAAAAGGCCAAACATGCCATGCAGTATTTAAACTACCATTGGATTTTGGTTCTCCATATTTAGGAATGAACAAAAACACAAAACAGGCAAAAGTTCTTCAAGATGCAGATATTATCATTTGGGATGAGTTCTCTATGGTACCCGGTAAAGCACTATATTATGTTAATAACCTATTGAAAGATATCATGAACTCTGACTCATTATTTGGTGATAAAGTTTTGATTTGTGGAGGAGATTTCAGACAAATCCTCCCAGTTGAAGAGGTTGGTTCATCGATCATTGCTTCTACTGTCAAAGGGCTTAAACTCTGGGATGATTTTGAGAAAACTAGCTTGACTGTGAACATGAGAGTTTCAGATGATAATGTGTGGGCAAATTTTTTATTAGATTTAGGTGTTGGCAAGTATATGAATTTGTCGATTGGTAAGGTAAATCTTCCAGAAAGAATGTTCACAAAAAATATAGTGAGAAGCGTCTTTGGTGATAAGATTTGCTCTAACGACACAGAAGCACTGAGCACTCGAGTTATTTTAGCGCCTAAAAATATAACAGTGAATCATTTAAATGAAGAAATTTTAGATATACTGGAAGGCGATGATAGGATATATAATTCAATTGACCTTATTCGATAGATACAAATAATTTTTCTGAGCAGATAAGTGTCGAGTTTCTTAATAGTCTCAATCCTTCAGGATTCCCGCCTTCTAAACTTCGCCTTAAAAAAGGAGCTGTTATCATATTATTGAGAAATTTGGACATTTCGAATGGTTTGGCCAATGGCACAAGGTTGATAATCGTTAAACTAGATAACAACGTATTAACAGCTAAGATTCTGACAGGACCCAGGTTTGGAGTTATTGTTCTCATACCTAAAATTGGCTTAATTTGTGATCGAAACTTTTCTTTAAAGTTCAAAAGATATCAATTCCCTGTTAAATTGTTTTTCGCTATGAGTATTAACAAATCTCAGGGACAAACATTTTCTCATGTAGGCGTCTATTTAATTGACCCTGTTTTTTCCCATGGACAATTTTACGTTGCGTTATCTAGATGCTCTTCACAGAGCAATATTTTCATTTATTCTCATGATTCGAACGTGGTTAATATTGTCGAAAAGGGCGTTTTTCAATGAAATATCTTTAATGTCTCTTCATTATCCATCTGTCTCCTGTCATCATTATAGTGAATTAGGTAACGTAAGATTTACAACTCATTTATTAGTATTTCATAACTCTTCAGGCAAAGTTTACGATGATTATTTCGAAACACAGTTTATGAAGAGCCGGTGAAAATCAGATCATTCGTACTTCATTTCCGAATTGTGAGCATTATTCATTTTATTATTTTTTTTTCATAACAAACACATAACTGTTACTTTATTCTGATTGCTTAGGTACTTCAAGAATGGTTGCTCCATCTCAGAACGATGTAAGTTCAAATATAATAACCATAATCAGTTTTTTGTTTTAGAGAATTACTTTCATTTTTTTGAAAGATTTTGTGTTCCTCACTGAGAAACGAACTTTCAACTTCAATCTCTATGAATTCCTTCTTTATTCACAACAAATTGTTCAGGTGAGTCAAACTTTTTTTTTCTAGTTTATTGTTTTCTAATTTAGAGAATCGCGTACAGAATGATAGCTGCTCCTAGTCTTGAGAATAATCTGATCAAGGTAGCAACAAGAATCACAAACGTCAACCAATCATAACGTTTTAGGCGAGTGTTGTCGGACGTCTGTCGGCTATTTTTACTGATCATGTGTATAAGAGACAAGATGTAGAAGACTTTTTTTTTGGTGACTTTACAACCACCACAGATTTTGTCAAAATTCTTCGCGATGTATTAATGCAAGAAGCAGGAGAACAACCAGTCTTGAAATACNCGCGATGTATTAATGCAAGAAGCAGGAGAACAACCAGTCTTGAAATACCTTGAAAAAGTTTTTGAAACCTTCGGAGATGACCAAACTAACACAATGTTATCTATTTCTACCAGCGTAAATTTTTATATTAAAATTTTTATGATTTTTATTTTATTCAGGTGAAGATGCTGATTTGCGGGGAACTGGAAGATGAAGAAGATTACTTGAACATATTCTAGTGGAGATTTCGTTGTTGTTCCTATTACTCTGGAAATTGTTGTCTTTTTTCTGATACTCTTCACCAAACGTACTCAATGTTGCTCTGATTTTTCATAAAACTCTGTGCTCTTTGTCAATTTCACTATTCCACATATTTTTTTGAGAATTCTGTTGTAATTCTTATTATTCTCAACATTTTTATATTTTTTCTGATACTAATTACCGAATGTATTCAGTGTTGCTCTGACTATTCATATAGCTCTGTGTTCTTAGTCAATTAAACTATTCCACATATTTTTTTGAGAATTCTGTTGTAATTCTTATTATTCTCAAACATTTTTATCTTTTTTCCGATAATCTTTAGCGAATGTACTCAGTGTTCTTTCTGTGTTCTTTATCAATTTCACTGCTGTTGTCCAACTATTGTTTAAACCGAGAATAAAATGTTTAAGTTATGTAACGCTTCGATTTCAATCAGAACATCAGGATCAGCTAACACAGACATTCGAGTACAACTCACACACACCTTGCCGAATGGTTAAATTTTCTACACCTGATTACTGTATCAGAAAACAAAGCCATACTCATTCAATAGCTACAAGCCCGAAGGGCCCAGATGCAAGTGCGCCGAAGGCGCACGCGGCATCTTGGGTAATTAAACCGAATTGACCATTAATCGCCTAATACATTTTTTACGTTGTCGTAGTTGTGTTGCGTGAATACGTTTCTGTGTTG